AGGCAGAGCAAAGCACCATGAGTACATGAAACAAGCAACTCCTGGGCTTTCCTGCCTCCCCAAATGAGCAAAGGAATAAACCAGAAAGGAGTGGGGCCCTCCCTTAACCTGCACAAGGGCTCCACACCTTCCTTGTTACAAGGGACTTATCACTGTGGGAAACTACAGCGGTGCTGCGGGCAAGGGCGAAACACAGCAGTGTTTTCCCAAGGGCGAGGGACGTGCCATGAACCTCCAAACCGGACAGCTCAAACCTTTCCTACCACAGAGCGAGTTATCGATAAAACCGGGATTCTGGCCTGAGGGGGAGACTCCAGCCCTCCCCCAGGGCTGGCTCACCCGCTGACACTGCTCAAGAAAAGCTGTTGCCTCCAAAGTATACACCTGCCTCCTGCAGCACCCCAATTTCATCTCTCACCCCTTTCCCGAGCCCTGGAGAAGGCTCTGAGGTCATTCAGCACACAGCGCGAGCTCCATCCCTCCCTGAACTGCAGACCACTGCTGCTGGCAGAAGTACCCCACGCCCCGCACGATCCCCTCCTGAGAGTGGGTACCTGGTTGCGGAGCTTGGTCCTTGGGTTTGGGGCATAGCCGATGAACCCCACTTTCTTCATGGTGCGCAAAATTTCGGGGTCTACTGGAGGGGCTCGCCTGCGAAACACACGGCAAGTCAGAGGCTGCTCTGTTTGGCCTTGCTGGGTGTGCTCAGGGTCACGAGGGTTCCCCCCACTTGGTCTTTCCCCCAGGTTCATTTTCCATCACAGCAAAACACCTGGGCTACACCAGAACACAGTGGCAGCGCTGAGCACAGGCATTTTGGGACAGGGCTCAGGCAGAGGAAAAACAAGAGTTTCCACGCAGGCAGAATGCAGCCCGGATCCCACCGGGATCTCCCCACCAAGGAAACGGAGGTTTGACCGTGCCCTACCATCTTCAGCCCTGCCCAGTCACCACACCTCAGCAGTTAAGCTCCACCACGGGGAACTTATCTTGCACTTCACAGGGCACATGATGAGGAAGGGCAGCGCCAACCACAAGACAGGGGAGCAGGGGGAGCAACGGAGCCACTCTCCTGCTTCTAAGACTCAGGGAAGGAGGGGGTCCCTGCCAGGGCCAGCTTTCCCGTGCTGGTTTTTGCTGGGAGAGACTGGTGAATTACCGGGGTGCCGGGGCAGAGTTGGCAGCGGGCCAGTCAGAGAGCAGGGTGTCGCTGGTCAGCGGCACGGGGATGAGCGAGAGCGGCACGAGGTCCTGGTTCCAGTCCAAGTGGGGCAGCGTGTCCACGATGCAGGGCAAGGCAAAGTCGGTCTCCCGGGAGTAGGCATTGAAGGTCACCTCCGGGGAGTCGGCCCAGAGGTGGACGCACCCCTCTGAGTCACCAAAGGCCAGGGCCTGCTTGCTGGCCGAGACGTCGAAGGTCATGATCAGGGGCCCAACGGTGTTCACGTGGAAGATGTCAGCGGGGTTGGCGAGGCCGGTGGGCTCACAGAACTGGCACTGCCCTGCACGAGAGGGAAGCGCAGCACGATGTGGCACCAGGGAGCCAGCAGGCGGGCCAGCACACGGTGACCCAGCAAACCTCTCGCTTACATGGCCAACTCTGTCCCACTGGGATTTGACCCTGAGCCCAGGGGGTGCTGGGACCATCACCCCGCTCTCACCAGTGGAGCGGGGCCTGGCCAGATGGGGGACGCAGCTTCACCCACCTGTCTGGGAGATGATGGCCAGGCGGGAGGTGTAGGTGGGGATGAAGCGGAGGAAGAAGGGGTCGATGTGGACCTGCAGCGGGGTGGTGGCCCGCATCATGCGCAGGTCATACACCTTCAGGAAGCGGTCGCAGGCGAGGCCGTTCATTCGGCTGGAGAAGCCGCAGGTCACCAGCAGGTTCCCATGGACATCAAAATCAGACAAGCTGCCCGAGTACGCGTCGAATTCGTGTTCCACCACAAATGTGCGCAGATCCCGCAAGGAGACCTGGAAGGGTAAGACAGGGGTGCTGGGTGCCACGCAGGCAGCTGCCAACTACTTGGGAGCCCCTCAAGCTCTGGGAAAAGCGGGACACCAACTCCAGGGTATCCCAGAGGGAAGCCGAGCACCAGCAGGGCTGCCAGGTAGGACGGGGCCGGTGTTACCTTCCCCGAGGTGTGCCCACAGAAGAAGAAGCGGTTTGATTGCCTCATGATGGTGATGCCGGGAACCTCCACGGTGTACTGAGGAGGCAGAAGAGCAGGGTTGAGCCCCCGAACAAAGCACCTCCCCGCAGCAGGGAGCAGCCCCCAGCCCAGCTGTACCTTCTGCGTCTCCTGGACGGTGTTGAGGTCTATCTCAATGACGTGGTTCTGCAGCCCGCCAACGAGCAGCGTGCTGCTGTCGGTCAGCAGGAGGCTGTGCATGTCCTCGGACTCGTCCATGCTGCGGGAGAGGGGAGAGGACAGCCCTCGCACTCCTGCCCAGCTCGGGGAGGCAGTGGGGAAGGGGGCAGAGGATCTGCCTCCACCTCTCCCAGATCTAGCTTTTACACTGCCGGCAGAGGGGCCAGGACCATCTCCTCCTGAGCAGGGGCAGCTCGTGGGGCTGGCAGGACCCGCCTGTCACCAGGGGAAGGCACTCACAGGTAGTCAAAAATGATGAGGCCTCCCCGTGACATGTACTTCAGGTTGGTTTTGGTCAGGAAAAGGACACCGTTCTCCAGGCTCTGGATCTGGCGGATGTCATCGCTGCTGTTCACTTGGAAGGAGGAGTATCGCTCCAGCGTCGGGCCGAAGAAAGAGGTGGCATGGCCCTAAAACCAGCCGGGGACAGGCTCATCAAGACCAGCCCCAACTTCACTTGGATGCAACACAGGCAAAGGCCACTTTGCCCTGCACCATCTCCCAGGTGGAGGCAGGCCTACGGCCTCAGCCAGCCTACGGGGCGGGGGGCTTCCTGCCCCCCTGCATGCCCCGAACTGTGGAAGATTGTTCAGACTTTTCCCTTTCAGGCAGATACATGCAGACACGAGTAAGGAACCAAAAGCTCCAACAGCCCCATGCATCAGGGCAGTACGGTCACTTGGGAAACACAGAGAGGCTCATGCTCCAAGACGCATCAACCACCGCCGGGCAGAAGCTCTGCGCTGGTACAGCACAACCCCGGGGTTTGAGCAGGACTCTCCAGCTCGGCCCCACGCTGAGCCGCCTCC